TTCAAATATCATAATATATATATAATAATAAATTTGAAATTCTTTTAATCAATATATTATATTTTTTAATTTTTTACCATGTTGTTTGTATTAGTTAATAAGTTATATTACTAGAGATTTGTTTCAGTTATATTTTATTTTAAAATATTATAATTGATCAATTTTTCAAGATACATTTTTTGGTCATTTTACATTCTCATCAACTGCTTTCATCAAATATGATTTATTTATCAGTTAGCTTATCAACTAGTTTGTCAAATATAATCTAAATATGTAAAATAAGTCTTGACAAACACTAGATTTAGGAACATATTGATGAAAATAAATTTTTTAAGTAATAATTATTGAAAATAAAAGCATAAATAATTAATATATATCGATAAATAAATAATAAAAAACCCACTTGGAAAAAAAGTTGTTGGCTTTTTTTTTTGGATGTTCAAAGGGCCAACTAATTTCAAGCTGCCATTTGCATGTTTTTTTAATCATCAATACAACAATAATTAATTAATATTAATTTATAAATTTAATTATACGAGTTGTTGTATGAATCTTGAAGATTTCAAGTTCGTACGGTTATCAAGTGAGAATCATAATTTTTTTGAGAATAATATTGGTTATATTATCGTCACTAAAGGGTCGTTTACTTACTCAGATAAGCGTTTACCAAATCATATTATCCTTAGCGGATAAATATGATAAGGACAAAGAATCTTATTCAATAAGAGCGAGACAAAGATCAAGAGTCTTACCCGGTAAGTGAGAGCAACGACTCTTACCACGATAAGAACTTACTGGGTAAATTGTTGCATATTGTGTTGTTTTGGTGGACTAAAATCTTACCCGGTAAGTAAATAATAATTTTACCAATACGCACTTATGCAATGCAATTTTTTGATAGTGAAACCCATTTTGTAGTATATTTATCAAGAAAAAGAAAATGCAAAACCACACAATATTTTACCAACACTATGATAATGTGTTGGACATTTAAAATCATATACAATGGATGACATCAATTTCAGGCATGTAAAACTTAAAAGCAGGTTGTTTATTGTTGGTGATTTGTATCATTAATATTATTTAAGTGTAATGAGATTAATTTGTTAACCAATGTAATCATGATTAATATTGAACAAGTAAGAAATGTGCGAAATGCACACTTGTTTGAGTTTATTTTGACGGGGGTCCGGGGGCGGTGGCGGGGTCCAAGAGGCAGAGCCCCTGGCTGGGGTCGAGCTGAAAATGATTCAAAAATCTGAATTTGAAATTTTTTATTCGGGTAATATTGTTTTGTGAAAAATGCTTCAAAAATCCGAATTTGAAATTTTAAACCCGGTTTAGAGTTCAAAAACTGCCGTTTTTTGATAGTTTTCGAATTCAATTTCGAGTTGGTCATTTTGATTTTGAAAAGGTACACAAATTCATAACATTTTTCGATTCTCTGTTCGAAAACACTAAATTTTATCCGGTTGAAATTTCGATTGTACCATCGAAATACTTCAATCTGAAAGTGTTACACGACTTTCAGTGAAATCCAAGCAATCGAAAACCAGAATTTCTAACAGTTATGTTGTTTTCGAAGCCATAAGATTATACCTTTTAGACTCGTGAAGACTGGAGATGATTCGTATAATGAGTTGGAAGGTTTGTTTTTCGTTCATCTAAGATCAATGAAGCTATGACGTGCATTCATACAGTCGTGTTGTGGTTGGACGTCATTCATATAGGGACCGATTACCCTATAGGGTAACAAAACAAGACACATATATCTAAACGAACTTTCAACATGACAAACGTGTCATTAAACATATCTTTAACATACCACACTTCTAACAACTGTTAATTATGTGGTTTTATTTCAGTGTGCATACCAGATATAATCTTCAAAGAATCTTACGGACTTGTATTTGAGACACTTAACAAATTAAATTTAACGGCCCTAACAGACAAAAATGAAAACTAGAACTAAAATGAAACCTTGATGAATCCTTGTAATTTTAAAAAGTTAGGAAGGAAAAAAGAGGGTTTTCATAAACCCAAGGGACTACTTTTGTAACATACTTTTAAAATTAAATTATGAGTAAATTACACTTTTCGTCCTTGTGGTTTGTCAATATTTTCGTAATTCCTACCATTAAATACAATATAGCAAAAAGGTAAAAGAATTGTAAATCAAGCAATAAAGTAGATCATAAAACCGAAAATAACAATATACAAACCATAGGGACTAAATATGAAATTACTAAACCACAGGGAGGAGAATAGCAATTGTTAACGAACCACAAGGACAAGAAACGTAATTTACTGTAAAATTATAACATAAAGAAGTAGAAAGTAAACAGGGGGAGGGGCGTGTGAATCGATTTACCCCTGATCGAATGCTAGGGTTTTCAATTCACTAAACCGATAATCATCACTTCTATGCATACTTGCATATTCCATAAACCCTAATGCGGAAAGTCTTACAGAAAAACCCGAAACATTTGTTGGGTTTTCATCAAAATGCCATCCACGGATCCAGATCTTCGTCTCCTAAACCCTATTCCACCACGCAGAATCAACACTTGCTCAACGAAATCAGACACATTCTTCAATCAGACAACTGGGCAGACATCTTACCCCTCTCAAACGTACCCAAAAAGCTGAACCCACATGTAATTCGATCTTTGCTTCAAGAAAACCAGGTGGGTATTCAATCAAATCCCCAATTATTGCCTCTTTTAGCCATTACTCTCTGCAACTCTAACTTGTATGGATGTGCTAGTCTTATAATTGATGCAATGATTGCAATTGGTTCCTCTCCTATCTCGATTTCGGGTTCTATTGTTAGTTGTTATAATGAAAATTTCGATCCTCACACTAACTTGAATCCCACAGTTTTTGAGGTGGTTGTGGATAGGTTTAGAATAAAGGGTTTATTAGATGAAGCTGCTGAAATCCTTCTAAGTGATCTCCAAATTGTTCCTAGTCCTCTATCTTTCAATTCGTTATTAAAAGATTTGCTTAATGGTAACAAGTTTGATCTTTTCTGGGATGTATGCAAAGCGATGTCGAAAAAAGTCGGTTTCTTTGATGTTTATGCCTATGGTCTTATGATAAAAGCTCATTGTGTGGTGGGAAATCTTGATGAGGCAAAAGGGGTGTTTGTAAAGATGGGTGAGGAAGGGTGTGAGCCGAGTTTGGTCACGTATAACGTGATGATCAGTGGTTTTTGTAAAAAGGGTCGTCTTGATGAAGCTATCGAGATCAAGAAACGTATGATTGATAAAGGGTTAGTGCCGAATGTGTTCATATATACTACACTAATTGATGGATTCTTCATAATGAAGAGATCAGAAGAGGCAAAAATGGTATTGAAGGAGATGAGGGATGCGGGCGTGGAGCCAAATGTGGTGACTTATAATGCGTTGGTTAACGGGTTTGTATCACGACGTGATATGGAATCGGCAATGGGAATTAAGGATGAGATGGTCGCTAGTCAAATTGGTGCGAATTTGGTTGTTTACAATACGCTTCTTCACGGGCTATGTAAGGAGCATATGATTGATAGAGCTCGTGAGTTAACGAATGAGATGTCGAGTATGGGGTTAAAACCGGATTTTAGAACTTTCACAGTGTTGATTCAGGGTTACTGTAAAGATCAGAGATTGATTGATGCGTTTGAAGTTCTTGAAGATATGAAGAAGCTTGATTTGGAGCCGAATGTGAGAACTTACGGTCTTTTGATCATTGGATTGTGCAGAACCGGAGATCTTGAAAAGGCGGACGCCCTTCTTTTAGAAACGAGCTTGAAGAATCTTAAACTAGATCAAATAGTTTACGAGACCCTTTTGAGTTATTGTTCAAAGGAATGTGATTCAGTAAAGTCGAAAAGAGTTTTGGAGGTGATGAAGGAGCAGGGGATAACGCTGAATGAGGTTTATTACGGCAGCCTCATAGGAAGGCTTTGTGGAGTTGGGAAAATGGATGAAGCGAGATCGTTCATGAATGAAATGATCGAGAGAGGTTTGGTGCCAAATGCACACATATATGAATCATTCATCAATGAATATTGCAGGTTAAGGGAAATGAAGGTTGCGAATAAGTATTTCTACACAATGCTAGGTCGTGGTTTAATACCACAATTTGCGTCTTTTGCGGTTTTAATCGAGGAAAACTGCAGAAGTGGTAACGTAGCCGATGTGTTTTTGATTTTGAGATGTACGCTTTCCCGAAAGGTTTTTTCCGATATTCGAGTGTATAAAGTGGTTCTTGATGGTCTCATGAAGTTTGGAAGACTTGAAGAGGCCTCTGGGCTCATGGTTGAACTCCACGAGAAGGGTTTCGTTCTCGAATGTGGCTCGATCGTATTGAGTTTGTGCAAGAAAGGAAAGGTGGAAGAAGCTTGTACGCTTGTCGAAAATTGCGGATTTACGCCTAGCGTACTTACGTACAACGTCTTGATAAAGGGTTTTTTCAAGATCGGTGATGCCACTAGAGCGAAGGAATTGTTTGATGAAATTAAGGAAAAGGGTTTGAGCCCAAACGATGTCACGTATGGCACAATGATCATCGGGCTATGCAAGTTCAAGGATTTAACTGCAGCGTGTGCGGTATCAGATGAAATGATACGGAACGATGTATCGCCGAACCGGTTTCTGTATACTGCTCTTGTCGATTGTTGTCACAAGATTGGGGATTCGGAAAAAGCTAACGAGCTGAGTCGACAAATGATCGAGAAGGGTTTTGCGTTGACTTCGTTCTCCGATGCGTTGACTACTAACGAGCAAGAACCCGAAAGAAGCCAAGTGGGAATGTAATGGTGGAAACAAGATAGTTCTTTTCAGTTTTCAACAACCTTGTTTCAATCTGAATGGGTCAGAACCAGACAGGTCGGCATACATCTCAACTAAGACGTTATTTTCGAGTGGGATATACTGGGTTCGTTTGGTTTTGAGCCCGAAAAGCATTGGGCCCGAAGCAAACACACGACGCTTTCTTACAAGTGTTTGGTTTGACTTTAATTTGATGACTATTTGAGTCTATTTAGGTCAAACAAAAAAGGGTCATTACAGTTTTGTAGATTCATTCATGGCAGTAGCCAAAATAATGATGATAGAAGTGTTTCATACGATCATCGTATTATGGTTCTTCCAGCGTCCAATACATTTCAAGAAGCATATCAACGGTTGCATCTGCCAACCACGGCTATATGTACACATGGCCGTTCCTGGGAGGGTGGGCCAAGCGACGTCAGGGCCCACAAAAAACAGGGGTTCAATTTTTTTTAGTTGCAGAAAGATATTCGCGTAATGCAGCGAGATAAATCTCAATTTTAATGTTTAGTTTTTATTCTGTCTCTATCGATATAATACGATTTTATGTGGTTTTGAGAAAGCGATAATATTTTTATTTTTGAATAAAATATAAATTTGAAAAAATTAAATCGATATTATTATCAAATTAACTATTTAATAGTTTTTATTTTTTGATGTAACTTCTTTAATTCAATTTTTTATTATAATTTAATCTACATATGATAACAAAGTAATTTATTTTTAGTTTAACAATATAATTTTTTATAAAAATAATAATTAAACATTCTGTTAGAATTCAATAATTATCTTAATTATATTTTAGATTTTTTATATTTAAAATAGATGTTTATTCTGTATTTAATTATGTTTATCTACAGTTAGTTACACGAATTTAAAAATAAAGCTTTAATAAGTTGTATTTACACAAAATTACTTGTAATCTTGAATTTTAAGTAATATGCATCAATAAACAGTATTTTATGTATAAAAAACTGTTTTTAAGAGTTTTTTTTTAAATGTTTTATAATATAGTATAGATATAACAGTAGTTCAAAAAAGTTGGTAAATAAAAGAGACATAAATTTTTTAGTATCTAATAGGACAAAAAAAGAATTTTAGTATTATATTAAGACCCATACATGTCTTAATTAATTATATTGGACAAGAAAATATGTGAAAAGTCAATTGGTCGTTCATTTTATAATATTGTTTATTGTTTCTCTAATTTTTTGTATCTAGTATACATGTCTAAAACTACTTGTCTAGAAAATCATGATATATTCTCTATCATTCATCTCTCACTAAGGGGCTGTTTGACATTTGCTGAATGGTTTGGTGCAGAATAGATAAGAGGTTCTCATGATATAGTGTAGAATGAAATACAATTGTTTATAATGAAATTAGGGTGTTGAATGGTTAAGAGAGACCCATGATACAAAATCATTCACAGGGTTTTAAAACTATTAAAAGACATACTTTTTTTTGCCAAACAAGATTCACTTCTTAACGATTCATAGATTAAGAGGTAAACAAACAACCTCTAATTCTAATTATTCCAATTTCCAACTGCATGAATTCTATTTTTGTATTAGCATATAATTGATCTTTTGTTATTAAATAAGAAAAAGTCATACCTTTTTAAAATACCAACCATATCAGACTGTCTAACTTATATTTAGGATTTCAAAACTATCCTTATTTTTCCATACATTTTTTAGTCTTTATTACCTAACTTAGTGTATGAATCTTAAATACTCCTATCTCAAGTTATAACCAACATGGGTTTTGATTCTAAGATTCATTATTGCGAAAAAGTTTAACCCTAAAGGTTTAAAACGATGTTTAACCCTCTCAAGTTTAACCCTAAATGTTTAAAACGATGATGAAAGACAATAACATGAGGTGGGATGGAGCCAACTGACTTATATTGATTTACATAATGTATTGCTCAGTAATGGTCAACGTTATGATCCCAAATGATGTCAATCAATATATTATAGGTATATGATATGATTTTTTTACAGTAGAACGGATTGATGATGCTATGTATAACTGATATGGTAGATAATATTAATATATAAATGATTATAGATTGATTTTGCACCAAGGAATACTCAGAAAAACAGTTTTATATGAATTATTAGTATTTTTTAAATTTACTGCTAGGTAAGAACAATAGATTGAGAGTTTTTTTTGATAGGGAGGGGGGAGACCCCTCCAGATCAAGGCAAAACACTAAACACAAAAACAACAAATTCGCGCTCGGGTGGGGGCGAACCACATCCACCAGAATAGATTGAGAGTTTTTCGTCCATAATGAGGGCCCTTTTTTACCTTTAGCCCAAGGTCTATAAAATGTTAGGAACGATCACAATATTGCTCTGAATGATCTGTGAGTACACATAGAAAAGAAGATGATTGATGACCGACGTTCTTCAAGCGGGTCTTTTGCTCTTACGTTGGACATGACTTATTTTATCTGGTTTATTCTAAGAATGTTCACCTCTATCTGTTAATTTTATGTAACATTTTCGAACTTATCGAGCTTCTTTACCCTCTGGATGGACCTTAGAAGTAGGGCCAGGAAAAAAGCTGCATAGAAAGCATATGGGAAGTGAATCAAACATTGCAGGAATGACAATTGAAGCATATATAAAGCAAAAGGTTATTTTAAGAAGTGATAAATATTTGAAAAGTAAAAGAAGTGATCCTAGCCTTTCATACGGTCATATTTCGGATTTGACTGGTCAAATATTGCGTCTATGTGAAAAATAGAGAGGGTAGTTTCGTAATTTTAACAAATAGGTGGTAAACGAGTTCATATATGAACTGTGAACTCGTGTGATTCACATATGAACTAATTAACTGATAGGTTCATATATGAATCAGTTAAATAGTTCACATGTGAACTAATTAACGAATTCACATATGAACATATAGTTCATTTGTATCATATGGGTTCACATATGAACCTATTTGCCGTTTATTAGTAAAAGTTACGGAAGTACCCTTCTATTTTCCGCATACCCATGCGATGAACTATCCAGTGCTTCACAGTCAAAGCTGCAAATGTTGACCAGATGAAGGGCTATGATCGTTTCCCAAATATTTACTTCTCCCAAATGATCCTTTCCCTATTATATATATAGGTGGACGTTCAAACGAGAAGACCTCCATTTTACGAGAATGCGAGGACACCCTCATCACATTGTAATAATACACATGAGGGACCCTGTGACGTGCGGACGACGTGTCTTGCAACTTGGTCATGTCAAAGGTTGTCTATGTCTCTGATTTAGTAACACATGTGATAATACACGCTAGGGAGCCTTGTGATGTACGACGACTTGGCCCACAACCTAGGTTGCACCAAAGGTCGTCCGCGTCTCTGAATTGGTACCACATGATGTATTATATCTGATGGAATATAGTATAACATGTGATTGACTACGGTAAAAGAGTGTTTTTGCATTTTAGTTTGAACCCTTCCACATATATACATAGGGTTGGGTTAAGGCCACCCTGTTTTTGTGAGACCCTTGATACCAGCTGGGAAGGCATAAAACACACTGAACCTTAACAGAAGGTACAAAAAACAAATCTTTACAGTGTTTTTCTATGAAGTTTCACGTTTTTTGTGGTCTCAGATTTCACGAAAACAGACTGTTCTCACATGGTTCCAATTCTCTTATATGTTACCTGCACCAGCAAATGATCCATTTGCAATAAGTTGGTTGTCTTGGGTGATGAATGTGACCCCAAGATTTGTGAGGACACCCAATATAACTGTATACATGGTTGCCATTTGCAATATTGTTGCCTTTCGAGCGGCTCTCTCATACTGATGCATTTGCAAAAATCAAATCAGATAAACCAAATCAAACATACTGAGATATATCCCACTTGAAAGTGAGGTCCGAGAGAGGTAGAATGTATGCAGCCCTTTCCTCTACCCAAGAGATGGAGAAAATCAACTTAGAGAACGAAAGAGAATAAAGGATAGTCCCTCTATGTCTTGTATGTTGGAGGCTTGTTTTTAAGGACTATTCATCATGTATTCATGTGAGAATTGAGATACATTAAATGAACTATCACGTGCATAAATCAAACCATACGAATACAATATATCCCATTCAAAGGGAGGGTGGGATGTATGTAGATTTATTCGTTATCCTAAAGAGTATAATGTATGTTTTTGTTAACGGTACAAAACTTGTTTGTCCCACATTTGATACAATATTAGAATGAGACATGACAGGTCCTGAGTGGACAAAAATGCATTTTTTTCTCACACCAAAATAAGTTGAACAAAAATCAAGGAGATGAGACAAGATTGGTAAATTACCTATGTCAAACTAAAACTCTAAGACCTTCTAAAATCCTTCCACCCGTCTAACTCATTTTCGCCCGTCCAGTTTTTTCCAATCCAGTCCGTGTACCAAATGCATATATATATATATATACACACATACTCACTAAAAAGGATGGGTTGGTAAATATGAGATAGGAGGGTTCTGAAACCATACGGTTATGCAAGGAGGTGAAAAATGTAAAGAAAAAGGTATGAACTACCTCTAAGACTCTGACTCGAAGTTGAAGATCTCCGGTTTCAAGTTGCTCTACAAACTCTTCGATATGCCGGACCCTGTAAGGCATGGACATGGTGTGTGATCTTGCCTGAAAGTTTGTTATACCCGTTAACTTGAACGTTTAAATCACCTCTAAAGTTCTAAAACATACGAGCATGCAATAACATCCAGTGTAGCAGGATCTTTAATAAAAAATAACGAGAAATTTTGGCAAATATGTCTTTACATTATCAGCTTGTTTTCGTATTTCTTGAATAAGTTCTGTTCCAGTACGCTGCTGTTGTTTGAGGTCGAGCAATTCCTGCAAGTAATTTCGATCATATAAGAAGCCAACATTTGAGGAACATGGAAAGCTTTTTTTAACGAAGTTCATATGATTAACATGTTTGTGCAAAGATGTTCAACCTGAGCATAAGGTGCAGCAATCTTGACAAAGGAAAATTTCGGATCAAGTGCATAGCAGATTCCTGCAAGTACATATGAGCATGATCACCTTACATCGAAATGGTGTTTATGAAGATCAGTCCGTTTAAATGAGTTTGAAGATAGGTATCTTAGACTCGTAGCAGTACTAACAAGCCCAGTATACCACTTGGAGGGTAAGATGTACGAAAAGTGTGAGAAAATGGAGAAAAACAGATACGCGAAACATTACAAAAGTGCTAAATAGTGAGTAAAGTCTTCCAATACCATACACTTTGATTTTGACAACTTGAGAAGATTCACCTTCAAGTGTGGAAAATGCCCTAATCACGAATGTGAAGGTGGAAGGAAATCGGAAGGGTTGATCTGTTGCTACAGCAAATAAATCCTGCAGGTAAGTCGTGACATTCTCAGTGATTATGTGTCGATGGAGATATCTTCTAGCCA